GGACCAGAGTTCTGATGCGGGCTTTCAGACAATAAGCTGGGTGTTTATCACAGGCCTGGAACCTCAGCTTTGGGCAGGGCAGAGTTGGGGAGATAAGTTACTAGGGCTTGCTGACTTCCAGCCTAGCCCAGAAAACCAAAGGAAGGAAGAGAGGAAGGAAGGAAGGAGGGAAGGAGGGAAGGAAGGAAATAAAAAGCCCCAAAGGAGTAAGCGGAGAACGATAGAGGAAGATAGCTGATGTTCTCTTCCAGCCTCCACACATGCATAGATCCATGCACCCACACACATATGCATGCACGCACGCAGGCATGCACTCTCACGTGCATACACACAGAATAAGTAAATCAAGAGAGAAAGAAGAAAGGAAGGAAGGAAGGGAGGAAGAAAGGAAGAGAGTTGAGCATGGTTATGAATGCTTTTACGTCTAGCAAAGGCAGGTAGGTGGATTTCTGTGAGTTGGAGGCCAGTCTGGTCTACAGAATTACTTCCAGGACAGCCAGGGCTACATAGAGAAACCCTGTCTTGAAAAACAAAAACAAACAAAACAAAACAGAAAAGGCAGCCAGGCAGTCATATAACAGGCCAAGGACAGAGACCTCAGAAGCAGCTGACCCTGCCTTCTTGGGTCAGGTCCCACTCAGCTCCCATTCCTCCTGGGAGCATTCTTTCTTCTCTTTCCTCTCTCTCAATTTTTTTCTAGACAACGTTTCTCTGTGTAGCCATGGCTGTCCTAGAATTCACTCTGTAGTCCAGGTTGGCCTCAAACTCACAGGGATCTGCCTGCTCCTGCTTTTTCAGTTCTGGGAAAAAGGTGGGCACCACCACTGCCTGGAGGGAGTATGTTTTGTAATTTGTAGTAGGAAGCCCATAGAGTTGCTCACATCCCACACCACCTTCCTGAGTTAAGGTCTCCTTGTGTATGAAATAGGAACAGCAGTTTTGAGCTCAGGTGGGTATGGTAAGATCATAGGGGAGGCCTAAAGCTGTGGGCACCAAGGGACCCACAGGAGGCCAAGGAAGGCAGTAGGTCAAGGGAGACATTCACTTGCCACTGGTGTTTACCCAGTGGGCTGGTTGCAGGTAGGGCTCCCGTATACCCCAGGCAGTAACCAGCAGCTATGAAGGTAGGGTATCCTGGCTGGACAGAAGCTTCCACTGGGTGCCAACAAAGGTAGTCAGAATTGGTGGAGGTGGGGAGGGGTGGGTGGTGGCAAGTTGAAGACTAAGGGAGAATTTTACTGAACATTCTCCAGCGGTGAGGTCACTGCTGACTCTCCAGGGTTGCTGAGCCAGAGCCGGAGGAGGCAGTGTCAGAGGTCAGGGCAGACACAAGGCCCAATGGAAGCCCACTGCCTGATCTAGGTGGGAGCAGGTTAAATCATGGAGAGCCAGGGAGGGGAAAGTTTACCTAACACTTGTTAAACTCTCACTGAGTGATGAGTGTTTAAAACTGCTATGCCTACCCTAATCCTACCCAGGACCTCAATCAGCAGCTGAGAGTCCTGATTTACAGGAGTGCATTTGAGGCACAGCATGGTGAAAACCATGCCCCAGAGGGAAAGCAATCTGGCTGGCAGGTAAGAGACACAGACTTTGGAATCTGCCATCTGTGAGTGCTCATCCCAGCCCTGACACTTATTGGATCCTCGTTTTACCTTATGTGTAAAATGGCAATAATGAAGGCTATAGTGAGGACTGGGTAAGATGATAATGGCCATATCACTCAGGGAGTGTGGGCCATCATCATCACCCCCATTTTTCTGATGCAAAACTGATCAGCTAATGGTAAACTGATGTGAGGCCATGCAACTAGTAGGTACAAGAGAAGAATTTGAACCCATACCCGATTCTTCCTGCCACCTGCCAGGTGACACTCCCTGGAACAACTATCAGCCCAGACTTTCTGTGCAACCATAGACTCTGACCTTTAGCTCGTGGCTCCTGGGACCGGGGCTCACTCAGGATTAGGCTGTAGCTGGTGTTCCAGGCATTGGTGAGGAGCCACAGCAGAATGCCTGGAAGCTTTGCTTGCTGCCTGGCATCCTGTCCAATGAGAACACGGCCCTGACATTGTTCTCTGGACCCTGCCTGCCAAGGGCCCACAGGTCAGGAATTTCCGAAGCCTGGCCAGACTGCCTTCACTTTCTGGAAAAGCTGAGAAGCCATTGTACGGGTTGAGCAGGCCTTGCTTCCCTGGCCAGGCAGAGATTTCTGGTAAGAGCGACTGTGGTGACACTGTCAACATCCTATTCACTTTCCAGGTTCTGGGCCTAGAGGCCACCTCCATGGAGACACAGTGACCTCGGCACTCATCTCTCCTACAGTTAAGGGAAAAAGCACTGTTTTAGGGCTGGCAGAAGTCAGGCAGCCAGGATTCAGTCCTAGCCTACCCTTTTCTATGTACTTAATGTACTTAGTAGGGAGTTTGGATGGTAACTGAGGAACACCCCCCCCCCCCCCCCCCCCCCCGCCATGTGCCCCAACACCAGCTTAGAGATGACACATAGCCTTCTCTGGGGTATATGGAATGTAAGCTTCTAGTTAGCACGGCAATTTCCTCTCTGGGCTGACCATTAGAAGAACTCACATACTGAGAATGTGGCTCAGTGGTAGAGCACCAGCCTAGCATGTGTGAGGCCCTGGCTCTCATTTATAGCAATGCAGCAAAAGGAATCTGTTTGTGACCTCCCCACAGTCATCCTAGATGCCTATGCTAAATGCCAAGGCTCCTGGTGGCTGGCCCTTCCTGTGGAATGCAGTCTCAGTGTCCACTGCTGTCCCTCTGTGCTCAGTCTCTGGTGACTAAGGAGGCTTTAGTCTGTCTGCAAGGGTCTGGCTGAGGGCTTTAGGAACTAAGGTTCTTGCTTCCATATCCTCCAGGACAGCTTCAGCAGAGTACCTGAAGGCAGCTCCACACTAAGATGGCTTAGAGTGCAGGGGTATCTTTTACCCTGTGTCTCTCAGGCTACCCACCTGTTGATAAAAGGCATTTAGTAACATCAAAAGGCATTTAGTATCATCAAGCATGGTGGTGCATGTTTATTATTCCCACACTGAGGAGGCAGAGGCAAGAAGGATGCTCTTGAGTTTTAGGCTACTTTGGATTATAGAATAAGACCCTATCTCAAGTCAGCTGGGCTGCCCTGAAGCCCCATGGGGGTACCAAGGCCACCATGGGACTGCCACATCATGGTGAGATCAGCACCCAGAATTGGGCAGATCACCTGGAGCATTCTGTGCTCACAGCCCATGACTCATGGACACATACTCATTGGCAGAGGCTGCCAACCTGGGACAGCTGTGCCCCTAGCCTTGGGCTCACCTTGCCTGTGCAAGCACCTTTTAAGGAGGGGGAACTTGGTTTCCCTCCCTCTGCCAGCTCTCCACATCTATCTAGGACAAATCAGACTCCTACCTGGGTTCATATCTGGTAACGTCTTTTTTTTTTTTTTTTAAATGTGATGTTGGGTAGGTCAATTTCTCTGAACCAGTTCCTTTGCTTATAATATGGAAATAATCCTTGCCTCATCAGAGTAGAATTAAATGAAGTAATTTATGTAAAAAGTGCTTGGCACCTTTTAAGGGGTGGCAGTGGGCTGTAGTAGGGCAGCCTGTAAGTTCTGACCACACCCCTTTTTTACCTGCTATCTTTAGTTACTCAACTCTGCTGGGCCCCTTTTCTGCAAAACAAACCCGCATTCCCTCTTGGCTTGTGAAGATGATACATTTTATAAGATGATGGAGGGCTGGGGATGTAGCTCAGTTGGCAGAGTCCTTGCCTATCATATATGAAGACCTGGGTTCAACACTCAGCACCAAATAAAACTAGGGGTGGTGGTGCATGCCTGCAACCCCAGAACTCCAGAGGGGGAGGAAGGACGATCAGGGGTTCAAGTCCATCCTTAGCAAGCTCAAGGCTAGCTGGGTGTACACGAGACTGTCCCCAAGCAACACGAGGACATAAAAGAGAAATGCCTGGCCACTGCTGGGTTTCACGACCTTGGCCATGTTCTCTAAACTTAATACTACTTGGAGGCTACTATAAATGAAGACAGGGCACCAGGAGGCTGCCATTCATTTACCTTGCTTGTGGTCTCAGTCAAACAGTCACTAGGTCAGTTTCCTTTTCCTGGACCTGAGGTCTTCTGGCCCCTGCACACCCATTCTGCTTCAGCAATGGCAGCCTTCTTGTTAAGTCTGCAGGTGGATCCCTTGGTCCCAGTGAGTTCTAATGGAACAACGTGTGCCACTGTGAACAAGGCACACACCAAAGGACACTGCAAACTCAGTTCGGAGGGTGTCAGGACTTTCTGTCATCAAGTACTACAGACTTGCAGACAGCAGACATCAGGTACAAGTGGCTACTTAGCCCCAGAAAGGCTTTAGGCTGGCTTTTCTTGGGTTGGGCAGCCTGGCACTCTTCATGGCCAAAGGAGCTGGAAAGAGAACAGGATGGGTAGAGGGTCCAGTCCCAAGGACCAGAACTTCCTGTGGGCATACTTAAGACGTGCCACCCAGCTAGGGGTCAGAAGCCAGTCTAGGAAGAAGGACCCTGAAGGGCTGAGGAGATCATGGCTAGAGTATAGGTATTTATTTGTTTGTTTATTTATTTATTTATTTATTTCAAGACAAGGTTTTTCTGTGTAGTCCAGGCTGTCCTGGAACTACATGGACCAGGCTGGCCTTGAACTCACAGAAATCCACCTGCCTCTGCCTCCCAAGTGCTGGGATTAAAGGCGTGCACCACCACCGCCCAGCTTAGTTCAGGGTTCTGAGACAACCATTTTTGGTAGAACCCCAGCCTGCATTCCTTGAGCCCACATCCACATTGGGGAAAGGCAGAATGTGCTCTGGGCCTTAGGAAGCATAGGCATGCATGACAGCATGATGGGAACAGAAGTCACCAGAGGGGCAGGCAGTCTAAGAGGGCTTGGGGACAGCAGTGGGCCCAGGAACACACATCCACCCCGAGCGCTCCTGGCCCATAGAACAGAAGTCGGTGGCAGTGCAAACCTGGTTTTATTGGTCTGACTCATTCACAGCTCCTCCTCCTGCTCAGGGAACCAGAACCAAGGCCCAGCTAACCCAGGGAGGGGACAAGGGAGAGAATGGACAGCTATGGTGTGTGGGCTGGGCTTTGCTCTTCTTGGCAAGAGGTAGAAGGGTCACATAAAGTTCTTTATTATAGACCTACAAAAAATGAGAGAAGTATACATTACTCTCCATTGTTCAGCCTCTGGTTTCCTTTTCTTTTCACAGAAGGACAGGAGAGGAAAATGCCAGAGGGAGGAGGGTGGGGCTGGTGGTTCTGATTGATCAGAGGAACTCAGGACCATATGGACAAGGACTGAGCTTGCAGCCAGGCTCCAGGCTAGCCCAGGCTCCTTCAGCATCTAGGGGAACAGTGACAGGCCTAGGAGGAGCAGACAGTAGGAGGCACACAGGAGGACCGCACACCATTGGCAGCACTGTTTCTCTGCAGGTCACCCTGGCGGAGGGCTGGCTCTGAAGCATCAGTGGCTTCTAGGTTTGGAGATCTGTTGCCAAAGGCTGGACCCACAGGGACAAAACAGAGGGGCAGTGCAGGAAGAATAACAGCTCAGGGCTGGGAGTTCTACTAGGCTCCTCCCCAAACAGGCTCCAGCAAGCAAGGGCAGCCAGGACTCTTTCCTGCTTGTCAGCCAATCAGCTTCTTCAGGAAGGCTTCCAGCTGGTCCTCATCCTTGATGCCCACAAACTTGTCCACCACGTCCCCATTCTTGATGGCCAGCACTGTAGGCACAGCTGACACCTGGGTGAGGGAACCACAGACCAAATCACTTAGAGGTGAATATGTCTCACGCACCTTTCTCTAGCCTCCGCAGAGAAGGCCAAAGTCACAGGTTGCGCCAAGGAAGGGGGTCTTCTCTGGGTGCAGAGCCTGGAGGCCCACCCACTGGAGCTTCTTCCATCACAAGCTCCCAGCGGTACCCTCCCCCCAACCACATGATGATTTGGGTGGAATGATGAGATGAAAATAACTGGTGTGAGCTACACGCTGGGCTGCTTTCTGAGCTCAAAGCCTTTCTTCAGGTGCCAGGCACGGCATGGTTTACCTAGAATGTTTGGGACAGACATCAGATGTCTACTGTGGTGGTCAGGGAAGCAAGCTCCACGGCTGGCTAACCTAACCTCATTTCTATCCTGGATGACCCCTTTACTACCTCAAGCCTTAGCTTTCCTCAGCAAGCAGAGACACTAAGAGCACTTTTAGTGGACTATGGGGATGGCAAGCGACACACCTGAAGATTCAGCACAGTGGGTGTGGTGAAGCTTGACCCCATGAGGACCACTTTGGTGGGCTACAGTCAATGGTATCAGAGACCAGAAATTCATACAGCCGCTTCCTGTGCACCGTGGAATGGAGACAGCCATATGTGGCCCGAGGCTTATTAGGGCTGGCAAAGGTGCATTCCTGACCCATGAGGCACCCACTCCCACAGCTCTGGGGACCTATATAGATTACATGAAATACAGATGAGGCTAGGGCGCCTGGCATGGCGTGCTGCCCAATGATTGGTATTTGCTGGCTTAATTTACATACAAGTTAATTAGGTCTTCCCACAGGCGGAGGGATGTGGGGTGAATCACCTCAGAGGCCAGACTGAGATAATGTCCAAAGTGAGGAAGAGAGAAATAAAGGCCACTTTGGCCCTATCATACAGGCCTCAACTGTTATGTGACAGGCCCTGCAGCCATTCCTAATGGGGAAAACCCAGCATGAAGGACACAGTTCCAACTTTTTTTTTTTTTTTTTAAAGTATCTCTGGCCCCTTGTCCTTGTCAGACTCTGGCATGGATGGTAGTATTAACAGCCCAAAAGCAGGCTTGCACTGTCTCCAGGAAAAGGCAGGGACCAGCAAAACAGGCCCTAGGAAACACCACTGGGTGTGTTCCTACACCATCTAGTGGTTGATGAATGAACTGCAGTACCCTAAGGCTGGCTTCGCTCAACCACTAACTTGGCTGAAACATTCCATTGGTGGACATTCCGTCCCTTTAAAATAAATACTCCATTTTTAAGATGTGGTCTAGGGTTGAGGGTGTGGCTCAGTGGTAGAGTACTTGCCTAGCAGGCATGAGGCCTGGGTTCCATCCTAGCACTAAACACCAAATCAAGCTTCCCTTTGTCCCAGTGCTCTTGGCAAGCCTCTCTGCTCTCTCACTGGACAGTTCAGAGTGGATGGAGTTTCCCTCCTGGGAGGTTCTGCTGTGTGTGCAAGCCTCTGTGCATGCTGGTCAAGGGCTTTCTCAAAGTCTGAACAACACACATGTAATCAGGCATGCACACAGCTACAGGCTCCCAGAACCCTGTTTCTAGTGGGGTAACTGGGTTGTGACAGAGGCCAAGGTGCCTGCTTAGTGTTTAGAACATGGCCATTGCTGCTAGTGCTCAGGCCCTTGTATGTGGTCTTAGGATGGGGGGCTGGATGGTGAAGGTACATGCCTCGGGAGGCAGAGGTAGGCAGATCTGAGTGAGTTTGGGGCCATCCTGGTCTACAGAGAGTTCCAGGACAGCCAGGGCTGTTACAAAGAGAAATGCTGTCTCAAAAAAAAAAAAAAAAAAAAAAAAAAAAAAGAAAGAAAAGAAAAGAAAAACCAACAACACTAACCCTCACCCCAACTGCTGCCAAAAAAATAAAAACATAAAAACGGTGGTGGGAACACAAACAGCCTTGGCTTCCTCCCCAGTTTTGTCGACAACATTGAATCGGGGTTAGGGAAAGGACATGCTCAGACCTGCTGCCTGTCCATCCTGTTCCAAGAAGCCACCTGAGGCCTTCTAGCCTGGTGGAGTGTGAATGCTCATGAGGCCTCTCCCCACCAACCTGAAACATATCTTGTCATACCCACTAGCAACATGGCTAAGAAACCACCAAGGCAGGATAGACACCACGGGATGCTGGTGACCTCTGTGGCCAACTGAAGAACTCACAGTGGGTGGAGGGTGTGTTCAGGTGTCAGGGAAGGCAGCAGACTAGACTACAGCCCCTAGGTTGCTGTCACTGAGTGACATCCTAACCCTCCTACCCCATTTTAGAGATGAGAAGACTGAGGCTCAAAGCACTTATTCTAAGAGGATTCAGAAAGTCAAGCAGGGATTCAAAACAAGAAACAAAGTCTGTCTGGTTTTGCTTTTGCTGGAGGGGGAAGGATCAGAGCCAGAGAACACAGACCCCAACAGGGTAAAGGCCATCAGAGAAGCATTCAAAGATTTCATGCTTTAAATGAGAAATGCCAAATGTCTTGTAAAAGGGCTTGGTTACAACAGAGTTATTAGAAAAACCATCATTTAACAAACAAACAAAACAGGGTTGGAAGGATGGCTTAGTGGGTAAAGGCACTTGCCACCAATCTTTTTTTCCCCCCTGGAGACAGGGTTTCTCTGTGACTTTGGAGCCTGTCCTGGAAGCTCTGTAGTCCAGGCTGGTCTCAAACTCACAGAGATCCACCTGCCTCTGCCTCCCGAGTGCTGGGATTAAAGGCATGCACCACCAATGCCTGGCTTGCCTCCAATCTTAATGCCCTGAATTCAATTTGTGGCTGGTACTCACATGATAGGAGAAATGACTCCCACATGTTATCCTAAACATGTTCAGATATGGGGCTGGGGAGATGGCTCTGATGTCATGTCAATATAAAGACCATGTAACCCTAACTCCCATGTAAATGCTGGATGGGTATGGTGACTGCCTAAATTCTCAGTGCTCCTGAGGCAGAAAATCCTGCCACAAATGGGCTAGCTGAACTAGCTGATCAGTGACCTCTGTGCTCAAATGAGAGACCTGCCTCAATGAGTAAATGAGAGACCTGCCTCAATGAGTAAATGGAGAGCAAGCAAGGAAGACAGCCAACAGCAACTTTAAGCCTGTACAGGCACCCAATACATACACATTTGTGTGTATACACAACCATTCCTGGAACTCTGGGTCATAATTTTCTTCAGGAAGAAACCCAATGTTTTTGGCAAGAGTGCTCTAGGTATATGCTTTACCATTGAGCTATACCCTCACCCCAGACTCTGTGCTTTGAGAATTCCATAAATGCCAGGGAGGTGTGGTATAATTCAGCCTTACAAGGCAGAGACAAGGGATCTCTACAGCAACATCGTTAGCAAGCTCCCAGTTTGAGAGCTTGTTTCAATGGATAGGTGGAAGATTGATAAAGGTGATTTCCAATGTCTACCATGGGCCTCCACATGTGCACACAGGCATGTGCACACAGATCCCTACACAAGAAGACCATGCATTACACATGTATGAAAAAATGGAAAGAAATAAAGAGAATATTCCAGGAGGACCAGTGGGGTTGCTTGGTGGATAAAGATACCTGCCATGAAGTCTGATAACCTGAGTTCAATCACTGAAACCCACATAATAGAGACAACTGATTCTCACAAGTTTCCCTTTGACCTCCACATGTGTCACGGCATGTGAATCCATGCACACACATACAGTGATGATAAAAAAAACCAACCCAGTTCATATTCAAGTTTGAGAGGCACTTATTTCCAAACAGAGCAATTAGAAATTATTAAAATACCATATATTTTGAATGGGTTAATGATTTGTCTATTGGGGTATACATGCAAAAAAGAAAAACAAAAAGCCAAACCAGGTTGCAGACATGGCAGTTGGTAGAGTGCTTGCCTCACATTCCATCCCAATTTAAACTGGGAGTGGTAGTACATGCTTCTAATCCCAGTGCTCAGGAAGCAGAGGCAGGAAGATAAGGAGTTCAAGGCATCTTTGCTATGTATTGAGATTGGGACCAGTCTGGAACATGATCCCCCACTGTCTCAAAAAAATTAAATAAAAGCTTTAGACAAATCACTCCAGTATTGACAGCAGCTGTGTCAAGATGGTCCAGGTTACAAGAGATGCCAGCTTGTCAGGATCACACCTTCAAGTGTAAGGCTGAGAGAGCCATGGGGGACAGCAGATGGCCTATTCCTTTTCTATTGCCCCTTGCCCCCAGGAACTAGCAAGGACTCAATGGTCAGGAGTGAGATGGGCATGTTGTGACAGTCTTGCACCCCCTAAGCTGAGATCATGCAGAATAGGAGTGGGGGTTGTCAGTGACACCCCAAAAACCTCAAGGATTCCCCCCCCTTTCAGGTGCAATGGAAGTCAAGAGTGGCCACGAAGAAGCATGCGGGAGTTAGGACAGCTTGAGGGCTTATGGTGGGTAGAGGGAGGACAAAGGTCCCAGAGGACTCCCTTACCTTCCTGTCTTGCCACAGGCTGTCAACACTCAAGCCATCCCATTTGCTGGAGTGTAGGAGTTATGGCTGGGAACTCATCATCTGTGGGACCTCTTTTGGTGGAAGTGTGATTTACATCTTACTAGTTCCCAGGCCTTGGCACATGGATAGTTTGCAGACCTCTGCCAAAGACATGATGCTGAGGCTGACATGGTAGCATCTGGAGGTCCCAGGAGGCAGCCTGGAAGTCTTAGGCTGACCCTTGCCCTACGTGGCTCCAGGCCTGAGTTCCTACCAGAAGGCCACACATTCACATTTGCTGAGACCCAGGGCCCAGGGTATGCAGTGAGTGAGCTAGGGAAAGTCGGGGGGGGGGGGGGGTCTCAAATGTTGAAGGGCCCTCTGACGGAGCAACTGGTGGGAGGGCTTTAAAAAAAAAAAAAAGCAACTCCTTTCACCCATGCCCTTGAGCGACCTGGTTTATGAAATCTCAAGGATGCTGTGCATCAGCAGCAGTCATCAGTGGCCCTGTCTTCCCACAATTCATTTCCTGTCTTCTGAACCAGGTAGCTTGACATCTTTTAACTAACCACCCTGTTCTCTGTCCAGCTCAAGGATGGACGGCAGCTTTCACACTGCTCACCCCTCTGTTTGTTGCCATGGGCTCTGGTCAGAGGGTGGATAACTATTACTTCAGCTGGTCTGGGGGATGTAGGCATGGTTAACTGAGTCTGGGTGTCTAAACTCTGAGAATGAAGCCCCACCCTGCTCCACATCCTCCAGCCTCTTGCATCCAGAGGGAGGGAGAGGTTTACCCTGGCCTTGGGGTTTCAAGGACTCCAAAGATGTGGATTTTCACAAGAATGTTTTTGGAGCCAAGGTCTTGCTATCTATCCCAGGCTGTCCTGACGCTGGGCTTTCAGGCATGTGCCACCATGCCTGGCTTGCACAAATTCTTCTGAGTTTTAAATATCAATGCCTAGTTTCCCCTTTCTTAAATCACTCTGACAGCCAGACCAAACATGCCCATGAACCAGGGCTGGCCCCCAGGCAGCCAGGTGTGACTTCGGCTCTGGGATAGGGTCACTGTCAGTACTAGGACCCCATGCTCCAGCCTGGTCTGCTTTTCCAGCCACAAGGCCTCTCTCCTACCTCAACTGTGGTGGTCTAAGGCCCACAGGATATCCCATAATCCTGGACAGGGTCTGTGGCCAGCTGTGGCCAGCTGAGTGGCTCTTTCCTGAGACATGCACACTTATGTCAGTACTCTGCTCTCATGTCACCTCCTTGGAAAAGACAGATGTAATGACACACACCCAGAGACACTGAACTTGGAAGGTAGCAGAGGATCAGAAATGCAGGGTCATTCTTACGTGGTAACACCGAGCCAACCTGAGCTTCAGAAGGCTCTCCCTCAAAAGACCAAACCAGAGAACAAAACCAAAAGGACAACAAAAGAAGTCCCCAATCCCCACCGCTTCCATCGTTCCACAGCACCCACCAGTGTTCAGATATTTACACAGATGTTATGGTCTGAGTGTCCCCAGGCTGAAACTCCAAAGCTCTCCAAAAGCCAAGTGTTTCCCCATAACTGCCAACTGAGAGTCTATATCTGACATCAGTAAGTGGACCACAGCCCTTGGGCCAAACTCCGTTTGCTGTCCATGTCTGTAAACACAGCTACTGGAACATGCCACAGCCTTTACTTCGTCCTGTGGCTGGAGACTTAGACAGCTGAGCTGCTGTAGCAGACACTGTCCTGCAAAGCCTCATGTATTTACCAACCCACCCCACCAGCTCCCTTAAAGATTTGAAGTTCTTTTTTTTTTTTTTTTAAAGAAGATGTATTTTGCTGGGTAGTGGCGCACACCTTCAATCCCAGCACTTGGAAGGCAGTTGTAGACAGATCTCCAGGTTTGAGGCCAGCTTGGTCTACACAGTGAGTTCCAGGACAGCCAAGGGTACACAGAGAAACCATGTCTTGGAAAAACCAACCAACCAACCCCCACCCCCAACCAAAACCCAGTATTTTATTTACTTACTTTTTTTTTTAATGGGTATGGGGATTTTGTCAACAAGGGCCAGAAGAGGATGTTTGATCATCTGGGACTGAAGTTACAGACAGTTGTGAGCTGCCAAGTGGTTGCTGGGAATTGACCCTGGGTCCTCTGCAAGAGTCAGTGCTCTTAACTGATGAGCCATTTCTCCAGCTCCACGGGTAAGTGTTGTCTGCTGCCACAACTAACACGTGGCACCAGGACTTCTGTTGGAGCGGAATGCTCACATAAACAAGCTAATTTGACCCTGTCTTTTTGTTGTTTTTGTACTGAGACTAAGGCTCACTTTGTACCCAGGCTGGCCTTGAACTCGTGGCATTCTCCCTGCCTCTGTCTCTGGATTGTAGGAGTGAGTTCCCACTTCTGGCTCCTGCAGGTATTTTGCTCACTGCTTCCATCTCTTTCCTTCCCTCTGTGTACCCTTCACTCACACTTCAGGTCAGAAGCTCTGGAATGCAAAGTCTTCCCTGTTCTGGTCACTTCCTCCCAAAACAACCTGCAGTGTCTTTCCTCATACAACTTTTCATTTCATTGCAATAAGCGTCTCACCATGTGCTTCCTTCCAACAGACCGAAGCATTTGGGGACAAGGATGTCCCCTTACCAGTGCCAGAATCACCCCTGCCTGTCTGTCAGGGCTCATAAGCAACAGCAGGTTGCATGTGAAGCAGTAGCTGGACATGGTGGCACAGTCCTATAATCCTACCACCTCAATGGCAAAAGCAGGAGTATCAGAAGTTCAAGGACAGCTCAAGCCATATGAAACCCTATCTCAATAAATAAATAAACAACAAAACAAAACAAAACAAAAACAATAGAGAATAACCTAGGGCCATGTAACCCATTTCTGAAGGGTGTCAGGAGACCTCCCTCCTAAGAGCGTTAGAAGAATACCAGACAAGCCACTTACTGGCTATTGGGTGATCGCCACCTTGGCTTCCCTGAGGCAACTCCATGCCAAAACATACCTCATACTCGATGGCAAGGTCTGTGTGGTCATCAATGTCCACTTTGGCCATCACCACCTTCCCATGTTGCTTGGCCACCATCTTCTCTAATCGCGGTCCTAGGATCTTACAGGGCCCACACCACCTCAGAAGGTAAGAAGGAACATAGTCAGCCCCGAGAATGCTCACTGCTCCACCTGTCTCCCCAGAGCCACCCTGAAACCCACATGGACTCTTGAGGGCAGAGCTGAGGGGTGGGGAATCCAGGAATTATGTGAAGGCCAGCCTTCTCAGGGATATGCAAAATCTTCAGAGAAGGCAACCCCTAAAGAAACCACAACCTGTGGAGTTCTTGCAGATGACAAAAGGGCAGCGAGAATAGCCTGGCATTGGGGGAGGGGTGTGAGTGTCCAGTCCAGTAATTCATGAACTAGGGAGAGGGATCTCTGGGCATGCTTGTAGGGGATGGATGATCTTGAGGTGGGAAGACCCACCAGTTGAGGGTGGGTGGCACCACCTCTGGGATACGACTGAGTTACATAAAAAGGAGAAAGTGAGTATGCAAGTTGGCTCAGTGGGTGAGCGTGCTTGCTGCTGGGCCTGACCAACAATGCAGTTTGTCTCAGGAGCTTACATGGTAGTAAAGAGTCAACTGCAGACGGCTGTCCTACCTCCACTTGTACACCACGGCTGGAGCATGCATGTATGCACACACACAATACATAAATGTTAAAAAGGAGGGGGCTGGGGAGTCGAGCACAAATATGCATCTTCCCTGATTCTTCATTAAGGACACGATGTGTCCAGCTGCCCCAAGCCCTTGCCACTGGGATGTCTCTGCCATAATGGGCTGCATTTGGCCCTGTGAGCCAAACCTTTTTTTTCCTTAAGTTTCTTTCATTAGGGTATTTTATCATAGCAACAAAAAAGTAACTAAGATAGGGAGAAAGAGGAATAGGAATTTGAGACTAGCCTGGACTACATAGTGAAGCCTGTTAGAGCTGGGTCAGGATCACTTCAGGGTTGCTAAAATCATCTTTGTTTCTTTCCCTTTGGCGGGGGGGGGGGAGTGGTTTGAGTCAAAGTCTCACTATGTAGCCCTTGTTAGTCTGGAACTCACTTTGTAGACTAAGGTAGCCTCAAACTCAGAGATCCATTTGTTTCTGCCTCCTGAGTGCTGAGGTTATTTTTTTGTTTTATTTTTTTTGGACAAGGTTTCTCTGTGTAACCCTTTTACTCCAGGACTCCCCGATTTCTTATTTTGTGTCATCTGCTGAGGATCACATTGTAATGGACATGAGTGATCCCTCCTTGGCTGGGGAGTGGGAACTCTCCTAGGACAGAAGCCGTGTTATCAGTATCATCTCTGTATATGGTGCCACAGATGTGCCTGGCACTAGGTGAATGAACCTGAATTTCGGTAATATTTTGTTTAAGATCTAACAAATAAAACTTGTCTGAAGACAGAGTGCAAAGCTAGCCACACTAGTCAGCCATAAGAGGTCAAACAGTGGTAGCACACACCTTTAATCCCAGCAGCCACACTAGTTGGCTATAGAAGCTGGGCAGTGATGCTGCATATCTTTAATCCCAGTACCAGAGAAGAATATAAGGCAGGAGAAGACAGGAGCCAATGCAATGTTCAGGCAGTCTGAGGACAGGATTGTCCTTTTGGTCTGAGCCTTGGTAGATGTAAGAACTCTTTAGTGGCTTGGATGATTTTCTTTTCTGATCTTCAGGCAATTTTTATTTATTTTTTAAACTTTTTAATTTTTTGTTTTTTCGAGACAGGGTTTCTCTGTGGTTTTAGAGGCTGTCCTGGAACTAGCTCTTGAAGCCCAGGCTGGTCTCGAACTCACAGAGATCTGCTTGCCTCTGCCTCCCGAGTGCTGGGACTAAAGGTATGTGCTACCACTGCTCGGTTCTTCAGGCAATTTTTAATTGTTAAATCATAAACAAAATATCACTACACTGAATCATACAACCTACCTTGTAGGGGAAAAAGAGTTAGCTCACTGATCATTCCTTTTCAAAAGCTCTCTACCATAGCAGGAGGGCAGAGTAATCGCCTCCCACAGGGCCCTGGCTGTCAACTCTTGCTTTATCCTTTTCTTAGACGGGGTTTCTCTGTCAACAGCTCTGGCTGTCCTGGAACTCACTTTGTAGTCCAGGCTGACCTCAAACTCATAGAGATTTACCTGCCTCTGCCTCCAGAGTGTTGGGATTTCAGGAGCATGCTACCACACTGCCCGGCTTCTGTTTTATCTTTTTCTATGAGCTGGCACATGCCAATCATCTCTTATATGGAGGAGGTGGAGGCAGGAGAGGCCCAAGTCTGACCTGGGTCACACAGTGAGACCTGTCTCAATCCAACATCCTTACCTCAAAAACTTCCATTTGTAGATTTCAATCAATGAATAAACCTAAATATCTACAAAGCCAGCCTGCAAAGCCTTATCTCAGGTGAAAAGGACACCCACTGGCTTGTCCAAGGTAACTTGGTGAGTCAGAGAAAGGACCAGAAAGAAAACAAAGAGCCCAAGAGATGTGTCTAGAAAACCTCCAAATGTTAATCGGACACACTAGTTTCTTCCAGGATGCTTTATTCTATGGGATCTGTTGGCTTTTTGTTTGAATCAAATCTAAAGGTCTGGAAATGAAAACCACGATAAAATGCAAGTGTTTATGTATCTCTAAACCACACTCCTATGGTACTGAGATGACACACCTCCTGCTTACCCCATACACACTTGGGTACCACTATGGTGGCACTGATAACGTTTTGCCCACTCCTTCCCATAGTTTTGTTAAAACAAAATGATGTTACTCCACACTGGATAAGACTGAGTTTTTCAGGCATCCAGATACAAGACAGAGGCACAATGCAGCACTCATCCTGGTCCGCTCTACAGACTATTTGTCAATAAATCTGTCTCCTACCACACTATGCTTCTTAAGGGTAGGTACTGGATCTCAAAATCTTCATAATGAGTTTATGACTGAAGCATTGAACATGGGTGTGAGCAATAGTGCACACTGATGGGCAATGCAAGACTGCCCCCAGTACTCACTGCGCATGAAAATCCACAACAACTGGCGTCTCACTGTTGACAACTCTGTCTTGAAAGTCAGGTCCATCCTGGACATTAAAGGTTGTTGAGCAGACTCTGGTGGTGTGTAATGTCCGGGCTGGGCTGGGTGTCCCTGTCAGACCACCAGGATTGTACTTCGGGGTCTGCAGGGTTCTAGAGGTGAGGGAAGTCCACCCACCCTGAGGGGGCTTCCTGGGGATGACCGAGGTCAGGAACCTCCTCAGGAGAAGCCGCTGAGCCATCTGTGAGTGAAAGAAGCAGGAAGAGCTGGGCTACACAACAGGATGACAACACACCAGGGAATTGAAAAGTATGTCGAAGTACTAAGGTGCTGGGAACGTGCAGAGCTAGAAGCAAAATGCAAGGAAATACTGCAATATATGATTTTTAAGGACCAGGACTTGTCATTCCTGCACTTGGGAGGCAGGAGGATATAAATCAAGTTCAGTTTGGGCTATAAAATAAAACCCTGTCTCTAAAATCTCCACACAACAACAATATATATAGAGGTGAGTGAGGAATGAGAATCACAGAATAGACATGTTAGACAGAAAACAGGCTGATAATCCAAAAAGAAATAAATTCTGAGGTGGAATTATAAAAGGTAGATGGAAGGAGGTACAAAGCTTACGTGTGTTACATGACTGGTTCTCCCAGATCAACTCTGAAGAAACTGTTTTAACACCATTCACATTCAGGGCAAGCCAGGGCTCAGGTAGTTTAAGTGACATGCCCAAAGTAGCCCAGTTTTAAAAAGGACAGTTAATTGGAACACAAGGCCATCTGTAAAATCTTTACTCTATCGATCGCTCTTTTAAACTGCGTTTCCATGGGAAATTAAGGAGAGAAAAGGGAGCTGTCGAAGGATAAGCAAAGAAGAATCCCAACTACGGAAGGAGGAACTAAGAAGCATAGGAACTAGACATGGGGTACCAAAGGAAAGGGGGGAACGTGTGAACGGAGGGAAACGGAGAGACCGGGAGCACAGGGCGTGCGGCTGCCGAGACCAGGTCCTCCCTCTCGGGTCCCCCCTCCGCTAGTGGCCGGCCGGCCTGCACAGCAGCGCGCCAACCCCGCCGCCCAGCCCACCCCGCGAGGTTCCTACCTCCCGGCAGCTTGAGCAGAGGGATGCACAGCTCAGTCGGCTGCCCGTCAAGGGCACTCCTGTTGTCACTTCCTCAGAGGCGGGACTAGCGTCATTTCCGGGAAAGATTACCCGGAGGCGTATCTTCGCAACTTGGGGGCGACTCAGTATTTTCCACCAATGAGGATAAAGGAAAAAGGTACGGGCGAGGAGGCGCGACCGGAAGGAATGAGATCCTAGAGGAGGGGCCGGAAGAGGTGTGGGACCATTGAGAGTGAGGGAGGGTAGTTAGAGGGAAGGGCGGGGAGGAGGGAGTGGCTTTGGAACAAATATCTGGGGCGTAAACCCTCTTGGCACCGCCCGTCCCTGAATTTTGGTTCGGGAGGGGCTGGTATGTTGTGTTCCTCTTAATATCGAGGAAGGACGCACTGTTCCGCAGAATCAGTGTTTAAAGGAAGGTTTTCCCGGGCTGGAGTTGTGGCTCAGTTGGTAGATCGGTTGCTAGCACACGCGAAGGTTGGGTTCGATTCTCAGTATCACGTAAACAGGGTGTGATGGTACGCACGTGTTACTCCGGAACCCCTGAGGCTCGAGGGCTCAGGACTTCAAAGTCATCCTTGACTACATAGGGAATGCTTGAGACCTCCGCCCCCGAAACACACACATCCCTACGTGGACATCAAGGGATTATTTTGTGGTCCTTGGCCTTGTCTGCCCAGCGCAATTTATGGTCATGGGCAAAGTCACTGTCCCTAAGGGTGGTGCTTCTAAACCCTCAAGCTTCTCTCTTTGGAATTGTTGGGGAAGTGGGCTTGCCTTTGAGACCCAAGGTGAAGTGTCATCTGTGAAAGCTTGGGCCCGGGGCTTTTCTCCATTTCCATTGGCATGAGTAACTGAGGTCTAAGTACCTTATTCCTACATATTATAACTCGTATTCCAGCTCCTTACGGTTCTGGGAACACATTGCTGCTCATATCCTCTTCCACACCTTTGCTTACTTTGAACTTTTGTCTCTTAGTACTTAGAGCACCTGCCCATCATGTCTTCTCTGAATAGTTTTACTTCCTTCTGTCTAGTGCTTGTTTTGTAACCCTTCATAACACAGTACAGTGTCTATTCTACTAGGTATATGCTTTCTCAGAGCAGGAACTTGTGGTTGTCACTCATCTGCATATACTTAAGAGCATTAACCTGGTACCCGGCCCAGAGAAGCCAGTAAATGCTTACTGTTTAGTAGATTCTTACTAAATTGAGGCTCTTTGTACACATTTCAGCAAATGGTGTCTGTCAAACCCTTATGAGACGTGTTCAAGCAGAAGCAGATAAATTGGCAGAACTCTATCTGCCACACCATTTCAAACCACTCTCTCATTAGTGGTTTGCTGAGGTGTCTCTTGTATTTTGCATCTGCAGTTGTTGCTGGAAGGCTTTTCCAGACTCCCCACTGGAGAAAAATGCTACTAGGTACTAGGCTCCATGTTTCTCTGGATCCCTTTTCTGTCTCCTCCAGTGGGAGGAGGACCTCCTCTTTGCAACTGTCAAGCACCATTCTTCACGCTTTGTTTTGTTGTCTGTTCCCTTCTTTTCCTTCCCCTTTCCCCATCCCTTCTTCTTGTCTGCTCCTTCCCTCCCTCCTTTTCTACCTCCATTCTCTCTCCATCTCCCCTCCTTCCTTTACCCCCTTTCTTTCTTAGAGTCTCATTTATTGTAGATTCTGTTTTATGCTATGGATTGAACTTAGCAAGCATTCCACCAACTGAGCTGCATCCCCAACCCCAGGGTCTCTTTATTTCTCACTTTACTGCCAACCTTGCAGTGTGTGTGTGTGTGTGTGTGTGTGTGTGTGTGTGTGTGTGTGTGTTGGTCGAGGGAGAAATGTCTCTGCAAACACTGGGGCCAACAGAGTAATGACCTACAATCTGTGTGAGGCAAGAAAGGAGCCCAGTTCAACACAACTCAGTAGCTAGGGTTGGCTCAAACTTTGAGAGTCTGACACTGGGTACTTTATTTTAGGCATGTTTAAGCACAACACAATTTGGAAAAAAAGTTCCCTGGTGGCAATGAACTCAATCCCATGTGCTCAATAGAGTGTTAAACATGAGTACCTCAAAACTCTTTGTAAAGTGCATGTGATATCTTTCATAAAAATGGCTTCTTGGATTGACTACATGCGACATCTTCAGGGTCTGGGGAAGGATCTGGTGTGGTTTTGGTCATACAGTAGCACAGAAGTCACCAGGCTGTTAGCCACCTCCACTTCCAGCCTTCTAGGTGGAAAACAGGTTATACCTCTCTCTCCTGTTGGAGACACAACTCTGGTTAACATTCCTGGTTTCCATGGTGCTTATATGTGAGTATAAGATCCTCAGTGCCCCTTACCCTGCAGGGTCTGTCTCCATTACTTGCCTCAGGATCTGACATCATAGGAGGTGCCCAGTGTCTCTAGGAGGTACAGTAGAGACCCAAATTGAGTCTTCTAACTTCAAATCCACTTTCCTCACCACATTCCATGGCCCCATTGTACCCTTCCAAAACATGGCCATGCTCTCATCCAGGCCATTTGGGCCACATCCTGTTGTTATTTGTCCTCTGTCCAATTGGCAGGTCCCAGTGTCCTGCAGAGTTTTCCTTCAAGATAGACTGAGGCAAACAAGTCTACTTGCTCTAGCCAGGCACTGCCATGCTCACTGAAGGCAGGAAACTGGGTCAGGTATGGGCAGAGTGGTCAGTCATTCTATCTTGTCTGATCTCTTGTCTTAGCATCTGTCCTCATCTGGCATGACGACCCCTGGAGGAATATCAGGCCTCCCCATCTCTCGGGCTCCTGAGGTCAGCTTCCCTTGCTGCAGCTCTTGCTGATAATGCCAGGCACTGTCTGTCAGGGGTGCTCTTGCCCCACTTACTTCCATATCTGCTTTTCTCTGTCTCCAGTGCTTTGTCTTCCTCAGCCACCCACCCGTCCTATTCAGCATTTTCACAGCAGTTTCTTGAGAGCGAATTTCCTTGCTTGATCTGTATTCAGAATTCTAAAGCGGGTCCAGTTCTGTTTATTCCTATTCTATAATGACCTCAGGTCTGTTGGTCCAGGCTTCTCATCTGAGAAATGAGACCATTATATCTTCCTTAAAGAGGGGCTGTGAGCTGATCGGTGGTGGCCCATGCCTTGGGAGGCAAAGACAGGCAAGCTTCTGAGTTCAAGGCCGGCCTGGTCTACAGTACTGAATTCTAGGACAACCAGAGCTATACAAAGAAACCCTGGCTCAAAAAACCTGTGGAAAGGACAGGCTATGGGAGCTGGCATGATGTTGGTTCCCTTTCCAGCAGCAGGTAGAGAGCCCATGACAGCAGGTTGCCAACCGGCCCCTCAGGGACTTGGTTGGTACCAAGTTGGTACCAAGCACTTGGTTGCAAGTGCTCTTAACTGCTAAACTGTCTTCCAGCTCTCTGTGATCAATTAAAAAAAAAATTAGCTCAGCATGGTGGTTTGATCCAAACACTATAGTGGCTGAGGCGGGGGTTCAAGGACAGTCTGGTTTATATATCCAGTTCAGCCAGGGCTCCCTAGTGAAACCCAAAATAAATAAATAAAGAAGAAGGAGAAGGAGGAGGAGAAGGAGAAGAAGAAGAGATCAGATTAGAGGCCTGGGATGTAGCTTAGTTGGTAGAGTGCCTGCCTAGTGGCACCAGATCCTGGGTTTGATCCCTAGCACTGTATCATGGTGGTGGGTGCCTATAATCTACCACTTAGGAGACAGAGACAAGAGAATCAGAAATTCAAGATCATTTCAGCTACATATCAAGTTCATGGCCACCTGGCCTACACGAGGAGACCTTGTCTCCTACAAAATAAAACAATAAACCAGAATGGAGTTGAAAAAGCTAGAACATGCCAGGTGTTACCAGCAGTGCTTTGTGTAGTGTTTGTTACTGTGTGTGTGTACACTGCTGTGTGACCAAAAATAATCTTTCTCAGTGATGGTCTTGTGTACTTAGCCTCCTGAATGCTGAGGTGACAGCCTTTAAACACTTCTTTTACTGAGAGTCACAGTCAGAGGGTTTGAGATGTACTAATATGCTGAAGCATTACCATATTAATGGCTAGCACTGTTGTCAGCCTCTTGCATATTTAACTCATCACATCCTGCCACTCTCTGAAGCAGGAACATTGAAGCCACAGCCTTAATCTTAGAGGAAGACACTGAAGCACGTGGGACACACAGAGAACAGGGTGTGGCATCTTAATGCGGCTATTTCACCCCCAGAAGATTCTGCCTTGGCTCTAGAGTGCTGCCTTCTCTCCCAGCCCCCAGAGAACTGCCAGCCAGCCCGCACAGGCCATCTGAGGCCAAGCCCGGAGGGTGCTTGGCAGCATGCCTTAAGCAAAGAGTCCACACGATGGCGCTATGGTACTCACAGTTTCCTCTCGGAGAAGCTGGCAGTCCAGGGCGCAGGCTCCCTAAACCCTGAAGGGCTGGACTGCAGAGGACAGGGCTGCACAACAGTCTCAGTTCAGCGATTGGGACACTGGAGATGTCAGAGTATGAAGGAGGCACCTTGAGAAAATGAAATAAGCTAACAAAAAGTATGGGGTGGCAGGCCACACGCACAGGGGTGCCCCTAGAGGACTTTTTTTTTTTTTTTTTTTTTTTTTTGGCTTTGTTTTTTGAGACGGGTTTCACCAAACAGTTTTTGCTGGCCTGGAACT